TCACTGACCATATGTCACTCAGTAACAGTGTCAGTGCTGAATGCTGCTGACCTAGCTTTCTTTTAGTCTATCCAACAAGTAGTTTGGAATCAAAATAAAAGAACTTTTTCTACACGATAATTCCTGACCTTAGGTTGCTTGTCATGAAAGTATTGCAATTAAGATCACATGGGCGATAATTTCCTGCATATAGTCATAACTTATCACTCTGTGACTTCCAGCATTATGGTAAAAAATGCATTTTATTGTTACAAATCCAATCGCATACAATTGTTTTAAGATATTCACATCTCAAGATGTATTGAACATACATATCATACTTGAAAAATCCAAAAAAAAGGAAGCTGGACACTATATTAAGAAGTTTTATTTTTGCTCACACCCTCCACTTTGATATTCATTAATGTGCACTTGTTGATCGTAATCTGATATGGTTTGTTTGTTGGGAATAAATGATTAATTCTTTCTGATCGTCTATCTTGGAAATTAAAAGCTACTTAATTATATTGTTATAACACATTTTTTCTGGTTTTTCTCTCCAGTGGTTGACTGTGGGCAACCTGCTGTAATTATCAATGGTCAAGGCTACCTGATAAATGGAACAACAATATTTCAATCAATGGTTAAGTACACATGTTCACCAGGGTATAGGATAGTTGGAAACTCTATTAGACAATGTTTGTCTTCTGGTAACTGGAGTGGAGAAGAACCTATGTGTATTGGTAAGTGAGTAAAACTAGACTTAATATAAATCAGGAGGCTAAATGTAACTGTAAAAAAGCAATTTGTTAACAGTGATTGTGTATATAAGCAGGAACATAGATATATCTGTAATTATGAAGTTGTTCACACTTTGCTTACTGCACAGTAAGAAGACTAAGTGTACTGTGATAATTCCAGGCATTATATTTCTTGTTGTGTAATGATTGAAATTAAGAATATCAGATGTACAGTCCTTTTTCCTTGTGTATATAGCTCTAATATAACACCTTGTGGCTTCCATCTTTGTTGGTCTTCTCAGAGTGGCCTACATGAATAACACTTCCAGATTTGTGATTTTCTTAGAACAACTGTATGAACTTCAGTAGTGGTTCATTGGAGGAGGAAAAGAAGGCCATTATGTTCTTAGTGATTGTGAATAAATAAACTATTTGTTTTTTTATATTAATACATATATTTTATTTGTTTTCTGCATAAAATTATTGAAAAACTGCCTATTTTTGTAGCAAATTATCCAAAAACTTCTTGTCCAATTGTATGCCAGTTCATCAAGTGACATCTCATGATGCAAGGCACAAAACAGTTGCACCTCTTGTTTCTCTTTTTTTATATGTTAAATTTCTCTATACTTGTGGTGGAAACAGCCAAGAAGAGTGACCCTGCTTAATTAGTTTATCAAGGAATTTGTGCCCAGTCACACAGTCAATCAGAATCTAGATTTAAAAAAATCAGTGCAATGAACTTTAAGAAATGTTTGCAACAAGAGGAGCACGCAAACCTCACAAGGTCATGGTGATCAAGAGCTGGTATGAATTTAATGATTATGTGATTATTCAGTATTTTGAAGGATATAAACAATTAAAAGTGAGTTTCATTAAATGATATGCAGTGCTTGGTTAAAAAGTGCAACAAGTTACCTTAATTTGGAGTTTTAAAGTGTGAACAATAGCTAGGCCTTGTCTGGCATGATGACAGTTGGTGGTTACCAACATGCTTACAGCTATAAAAAGTGGATATCTTGAAGTTGTGTATAGATAAATCAAGATACCTAAATTAAGTAGCACCTCTTGTAGTCTTCTACATTTTTTGGGATTGAGGTTAAAATACCACTGGCTTTCTCCTCGGTATTAACTACAAGCTGCCACTGATGAAATTAGATTTGTATCACCACTCCTTTATTTTTACCATAGTGGTATGATGAAACTTACAGAATAATGTGAATTGTCTTGTAATTAATAGAAGCTATGTTGAGAAATGATGTCTTGTTGCCCACATCCTCCATCTGTATCACCACTGGTATGATTTGATGGTCATAATCTGAAAGTGGTTTTCTTATTGGGAATAAGTTTCCAAGTCTATCTGAACATCATTTATAAAATTATAATTTCCCTTGAAGTTTTAATCATTAATTTACTATTAAAATACTAAGTAAGATTTTTATCATAACATATTTTGTTAATGTTTTAAATCAGGTTGTATGTTTTGTTACAAGCATTAAGAAAAAAATTATCTCTAAGTAAAAAAGCTATCTAGAGCTAGCTACTCTATTTGAAAAAGGAGCCAAACAAGATAAGGATAGAAGCCAGGTAACTAAAGGAAGGATATAATGATGAAAGCTGAGATTCTATTCAAACACCAAGCTTTTGATAGACAGAGTGGGGAAGCCAGTAATGTAGGGATTTTATTCTCCATGTAAAGTCAAGACAGCTTAGTCTGCTATGTGATCATAACCTGGATCAAGTGGTATGTCCACTTCCATCCCTATCTTGTTTGGTTCCTTTTTTCAAGTTCAGCAGCCAACCCAACATAGCTTTTTTATTTAGTGATAAATGTTTTACTAATACTTGTTTGTTTACTTTTTTTATGAGATGGCATACATGGGATACTAGGTTATAGAGTGTATTCTAAAGCTTTGTAAATTTTGCATATAATAATAATAAAATAGGTAAGTAAAGGTTGTGAAGATTGTTTTACTCTATCAAATGATGATAACATTATAGTTACTGCTAGAACTAGGTAGGTGCTAGGCCTGTTGAAGAAAGATGATAATTGAACAAAAAATAAGAAATCTTGGTTTGATTATTCACTGGTTTTTGACTTTGGGATGCTCTGGATACTTGAAAAGTGGAATATACACTGAAGATAGAGCAACTATACCAGGTAGCTTTTCATATCTAGCTTTTGACAACCTGTAGTAAAGAAAATCCAGATGACTTTTGTATTGCTTTAGTATGGGCTTCTGTGACATTCCTACAAAGAGATTGCAAGTGCACTCTCTGATACATCACATTCTTAAAACCAGTTTTAAAAGATAATACTTGGAAACAACACTATTTGTAGAGTCATTTGAACAGTAATTATTGTAAAAATTAAATCAAAACAATTAAAGTAATAATGATTTTTATTGTACTGGTATTAGTGTATGCTCTTAAACAACAGTTATAGCTTAAGATATTAAAAGGTATACAAGTGTATTGTTATAACACATTTTTTCTGGGTTTTCTCTACAGTTGTTGACTGTGGGCAGCTAGCTGTAATTACTAATGGTCTTCGTTACCTGATGAATGGAACAACAATATTTCAAGCAATGGTCGAGTACACATGTTTAACAGGATATAGGATAGTTGGAGACCCTATTAGACAATGCTTATCTTCTGGTAACTGGAGTGGAGAAGAGCCTATGTGTATTTGTAAGTTACTACTGCTAGATTTAATATGAAGACAGGAGGCTAAATGTAACTGTGAAAAAGTAATTTGTTTCATTAATTGTGTATATAGGTAGAAATATACATGCATATGTAACAGGAAAGTTGCTCACACTTTGCTTACTGCACAGTGAGAAGATTAAATGTACCATTATATTGCTTACTGTGTAATGACTGAAATTAAGAAGATCAGCTGAATGGTCATTTTTCATTAGGGGTATAGCCCTAATTTAGAAACTTGGGATTTCCATCTTTCTTGGTCTTCTGAGGGATGGTTTGCATGGACAACACTTCCATGTATGTAATTACCTTAAAAAACTATTAAATGTGAATAGAGTTGTTTAAACATTTGTTTAACAACAAGTTAAAGCTTGAAATGGTCCATTCTTTCATTGGGGGGGGGGGGGTGTCTGTGAGCCAGACTAGTTTCAGAAAATTGTAAGTGTAAAACACTTATATACACCAATTTGAACTATTAAATTTGATTTGTATCACTACTCTTGCATTTTACTATAGTGATATGATGAAACTTACAGAATAATGTGAAATGTCTTGTATGTAATGGAAGTTATGCTGAGAAGGGATGTCTTGTTGCCCACATCCTCTATCTTTATCACCATTCATATGGTTTGTTAGTCATAACCTGAAATGGTTTTCTTACTGAAAATAAATTTACAGTTCTTTCTGAACATCCATCGTAAAGATTATAGCAGTCATGTATATTACCCAAGCCTTTAAAGAAATTGTAGTTATTATCTTTTTTGTGAAAACATCAACCAAGATTTTGATCAAAACCTTCTGTTATTAATGTTTTAAATAAGGTTGCATATCTACCACATATATTTTGTTATACATATTTTTCTTAAATTCCATTGTGTCAGTAACAAATTTATGGACTTATGATATGCTAAAATTCAGGGTTAGATTCTCTTCAATGGACAGTATGCAGATAGCCTATTGTACAGCTCTGTACCAAAAAAACTAACAACATTAACACCTCATTTTTTTAAACCCAGTATTGATGTTTTATTTTAAGGAAATACTTAGAAACAACTGTTTGGAATTGTAATCATTGTAAAAGTGAAATCAACATAATTAAAATAATGATATTTATTTTACTGATATTAGTGTATGCTCTTAAGCAACAGCAATAACTTAGTCTTATAATTTGGAGACTATTAAGAGATTAAAAAGTTATACAGGTGTACTGTTATAACACTTTTTTGTTTTTCTCTACAGTGATTGATTGTGGGCAACCTGCTGTAATTACCAATGGTCAAAGTTACCTGATGAATGAAACAACAATATTTCAAGCAATGGTTCAGTACACATGTTTACCAGAATTCATGATAGTTGGAGACCCTGTTAGACAATGTTTGTCTTCTGGTAACTGGAGTGGCGAAGAACCTATGTGTATCGGTAAGTTAGTAAAACTAAATTTAATATAAAGTCAAGAGGCTAAATGTCACTGTAAAAAATGTAATTTGTTAACATTGGTTGTTTATATAAGCAGGAACATAGATATATATGTAGTAAGGAAGTTGTTCACACTTTGCTTACTACACCATAAGAAGATTAAGTATATTGATATATAGTACTTTGTTTACATTGATTGTGTATGTTGGAAAATTACAGAGTCACACATAACAAGATAGCTACTCACACTTTGTTTACTTCGCAGCAAAATTAGATGTATTGATAAATAGTACTTTGTTTACATTGATTGTGTATGTTGGAAAATTACAGAGTCACACATAACAAGGTTGCTACTCACACTTTGTTTACTTCGCAGCAAAATTAGATGTATTGATAAATAGTAGTTTGTTTACATTGATTGTGTATGTTGGAAAATTACAGTCACACATAATAAGGTAGCTACTCACACTTTGTTTACTTCGCAGTAAAATTAGATGTATTGGTAAATAGTAATTTATTCAGGTTTGACTTTATTTCATATCCATGGCACTAGGAATTTTGATTAATAGAAAATTATTTTATTGTGTTTTTTACTATTATAGTGATTTATTAACTTTACATAGTGTTTAATCAGGAAATAAATTGTATCTATAAGAATTATGTTGTACACTATAGATTTTGTGTATAGATAGATACCTAAGCACCAATTTTAGTATGTAGTAGTAATCTGTTTGCACTATTTACTAACAGTCAGAAGCCCATTAACTTTTACTGGTAAGTAGTACATTGCTCACACTGAGTTCAATATATAACCAAGAATCTAGGTATATTGAAAGTATTAACACAATTATTCATAATTTGGAAACCAAAGAAGATAAATCATTGGTTTGTTCTTTTTCCTACTTGTCTTGTTCTTGTCTATGCATGTAAAGATTTGTCATTTGAAAATTTTGAATACACCAAAATGATTTAGTTTGTAGAGGCTAAAGAAATATGTTTTATATATTTTTACTCATAGAAATTCCTTCATCTTCAAATCCAAATGAGAACATCATAGATGGGGAGTGTAAGACAAGATGGTTTTACAATTGTAACTGTAAGATACATATATTTAGGCACTGTTATTATAGTTGTGCAGTTTGGTGTAGCTCAAATGTTTGTTTGATGTAATCTGCAGCTGGAATGTTCTTGTTTTTAAATTCATTAAGTTTATCAAGCAGTCAATAAGGAAATATTTTGGTAATTGTATCACATATTAATTAAAATAACTTGGATATATTGCTTTTGTTTTCTAGTCTTCACTCTGTTGGAGTAAATATATACTGTTTATATTTAGGCAAAGAGGAACTTTAACAGATGAACTTCCCAGTAAAATGATTATTGAGAAAAATGTTTTAGCTTTCTAGCTTCACTAGGTTATAGCAATATTGAGGTTGGGGGAATAGTGACATGGTTGTGTCACATCCATAGGGTCATGAAACTTCAACAGGCTGTAAAAATGTAGTAGTTATGCGTTTGTTAAAATATTTGTGATACATTCATAGGGATATGACAAAGACAGAAGTCATGAGCTTTCATCAGGCCTTAGTAGTATGGTAGCAATGCATTTATTTAATTGGATGTGATGCATCCATTGTGGACCTTGTGAAAACAAATATTATGAGCCTGGGTTCTAAACCTAAAGTCTGTTGATATGTTGAAATGGTACTGATACATTCATGATGGCCCTTATGAAGGTAGAAAGCAAAAATATTGATTGTCATCCTGAATCTGATGAACAGAGACATCATACTTTAGTATTGTTACATCTCTGGTTGTTTGTTAATTACCCGTAAAAATTCTTTCCGAAGAACTTCAGCGATACAGGTCCTTTCTTAAATAAAACTAGTTTATTCTTTCTCAATACAACTTTGCAATACATTTAATTTCCACAGTCACTTTAACTTAAACACACACTATAATTCACAATGATTTACACACTTTACTTACGGCTTGACTCGATTATCTGTCTCTGTGTCTGCTATTCCAATTCTGATTCATTGTCTCGCTTTATCTGCCTCACTTATATACAAGAATAGAGGGCGTCTAGAATGCACTAGCCTCTTCAGGAACCTTCTAGATACTCATTACGTGTTACCAGCATCATGTGACTTCCGCTGTCGTAACAATATTATAGATGCTTGGCATGTGTTTATTTGGAAATTATTCATCTGTGGTGGACATTGTAATAACAATGCATTTGGTGTATCTTAACATCTATTAATATAAAGCATTATATATTCTTTGAGATTTAATTTATGGTAATTTATCTGTAAATATTCTGTGAGTGTTAAATCATCCTAACCTGAAAATTCATGCAAGAATCATATTTCTTGGTTCTTTGCTTTATCATCCTTGTGAATGATATCTATATTAATCACATAAATTTTAAAGCATAACAAATATGACTGAATTATACATTTGGTTTGAAATTTCCATTTTCGGATTTTAAGAAGAGAAAAATTCCACTAATTCCACTGTTAAAACAAGCTTCTTTTTTTTTTATAACCTCTCCATTGAATTTTTTCTTTGGTTGAAAAATGAATTTTTTAAAGATCTTTTCAATTCAAGACTTTAATGAACATATTAGTTGTTTGGTTTGCCAAAAATTGTTATACAGTGAAAATATAGCCAAACCGTGATCATTATTATTCAATTCAAGTTTGTAAATATATGAGTAACAATTGAAACTTTAGCTTTGCTAATTCTAAAACATTTTTAAAAATTTTAATAAGTTTTTGTTTGATATGTCAGACCTAATTCTACTCTCCTTAAACATTTTCTGTTTTTTCATACTTTAGAATATGTCTTAGTAAATTTTGATCTTCTATAATAAATAAATACTTCTCAGTGAACAGTGCTTTCTTTTTTATAGTTTCAGATAGCCAGACATCTGACTCTGATACAAGCAGATCAAAAACTATAGGTAATTATTTGCACTAGGTCCACTAAAATAATATTTGTGAATGGGAGTATCATTTTAACCACAATTTTAGGTAGGCTTAAGCTGTGTCAGTACACTAGCAGTTTTGTGTAAGATTTTGCTTTGTCAGTTTACTTGTAACTGATAAAGGATCGCAATGTTTCAGTAATTTTAACACTAGTTTGGTAGACTGGTAATAATAATTTGAGATAAATTGTTTCAGTTTAATTTTCATTGTAAGTAATAACACCATTTCAACTTACTGATACTTGTGAGGAAGGCTGAACTGTTCTGGTAAGCTTTCAGTCCTGAAAAAAAAAGCACCAGGTCATTCAACATTAACCAGTAAAAATCTCATGTTCAATTATAATAAGAACTTAAACAATGACTGTTTCTTACCATTTGATCTACATCTACCTATACAGATTTTAGTACCTTTATATTAAATATTAAGAAAATCTGATGACACAAGAGCAGTTTAAACTGATGTTTTAAATTATCACAAATCACTTTTTTTTATGACCTGAGCAAAAATGTAACAGAAGTAATCCTTTAATTTCAGTAGCAAGTTTTAAAATGAGCCAGGTTAGCAGTAATTTAAAAGACTTAAATAACATTCAGAATGAAACTGAAAAATTGGAACTTTTGCATGCAACATTTCATATCCTGAAACAATAAAAGACTGTATATTCAGGTTCAGTTATGCTTTCTTTACTGCTGCAAATAGTGAAATATTTTTATATACAAATAATTTATGAAGCACATTAGTTGCTATTTAAATTCTATTACTAATAACAATGTTACATATCCATGTTATGTTTAATCATTCTATGTGTAATATGCAAAATCTATGCAATGTAGTGGTGATTTATGTCTTAAATTTGTGCAAAAGGATAAATTATTTTAGTAAATAATATTTTTTTTTCTAGGAATTGGTGCAGCTGTTGGCATTGGTGTTGTCTTGGTGCTGATTATAATTGTTGTCTGCATAAAAATGTAAGTAATTTTTAAAGCTTAAAAGATTAGGTTAAATATTTTTAAATTCCTTGTTATTCATTTGTTACAATTTTTAGATGTTTTAGTATTTTGTTAAAACAATTTTGGGATTATTAAATCATCATCGTATTTTTTCATAAATGATATTGGTTTTCATAAATATTATACAAGGAAGTATGCTAAAAATGTATTTATGTTTAGTCAAAATAAGTAAATTCAAATGCCATATGTTTATATTATGAAAAAAGATTGTTCTTCTACAGACTTTTTATTTTCTCTCTCTCTCCCTTAAAGTATCAAAGGATGCTGTTTGTCAGATTTGGGCTGTAGTTATGTAAAAAACAAAATGTTTTATGTACTTTCAGAAAGAAAATATAAAAATAATGCCCAGTTTAGGTTCTAATCATTCTAAAAGGAGGAAGCAGTTTGTTTTTATGTTTTTAAAGGAGTGGATACATAGTTGTCATATGAAACTTTGACTTGCAAGATTAAAATAGAATTTAAAGCATTTTGGAAGAACAAAATATAAAATATTTGTAAAAATGTATTGAAGCAAATTACTTTGTGATGTTTGCACAAAAAGCTATAGAGAGTACTATTGAAGACTATTTTAAGATTATAGATGTATATTATCTCCTTTATTGTGAGAATTACTTGAACTTGAAACAGTTATTAGGTATTGGATATCATTGGACTTATTTTCATTTTCTTGCATTGCATATTTTTATATACCATAAAGTTTATATAACCTTGTTATCATCAGAGGTGTAGTGGGGTGGGAACGCATGGGCACAGCATACCTGTACTTTTTTTTTAGTTGGAACACCGTACTGCCACTATTTTGAACGAATCCCACCTTACACAGTTAATTAAATGTATTCTGGTACTTCTTTACTTAACACTACACCACTGGTTATCATTAAAGGTTATGTATGTTTGTATCAGGCTGTTCATGACCTTGCAGTACATGAATTATTTTCTTAGACCTGAAAAAAACAACAAGACAGAATTAAGGCTTAAACATACTTCTTAAAGTAATGTGGGAAAAAGACAATGGAAGAAAATTTTCTTCCACATTTCAAGTTTATGAATATAGTAATTGAAGTAACTGGACACTTGGGCACATCACACTTTAGAGCAGTAGTTGCCTGACTAGAAAACCTAGTGGATCAACTTGTTAACTAAACTAAGTAAATTTAGCAGCTTCCTTCTTTAAATGCTTTAATAGCATCTGTATCAATAAATATACATTTTTTGTCCTTCAAAAAGCATTTACCTAAGAGCTTGAAAATATTTTGCATTCTCTGCTTTTTCTTTATGAGCTTATTTGTTTATTTATTTAACTGTGTCTTTTTGCTCACAGTGTTTTCTCAACATTATATATGCATTATTTTACTCCTGAAATTAAATTTAGAGTGTAATTATGTAACTTCATGATTTTATATGAATTTGTAGTGAAACAACCAAGATGCTGAGAGTTTTATGAACACATTTTAGCATGTACAAGAACTTTTGAAAAATATTTATACACTAAGATATTTTGATTGTGTGTACTTTTGAAACATTACTGAATTATATCTCATATAACTGAAACATATGCATTACTGTTTTACTGCACTCATAATTTTAAACAAATATTACTTTGTTTTAAAGTTCAAAGAATCAAAATATTCAATGCTTGCTCACTTTTAGAGCTTCCTGTACATCACTATTCTTTGGAAATGTTTTGTAATTATACATTTTTACTTGTATTTTTCAATTAAAAATTATTTAGTTTCATAATGTTGAATATGGCAATTACAGGAAAAAGGGGAGGCTAACTAAAAACTCAGGAAATGTGCCAGTTCATAGAACACAGGGAAAACAAGCTTCTGTCTTGTCCTACTCCAACTTCAGTATGGAAGCAGATGGTCGAGGAGACCCAGATAATTTGAATGAAAGTGGAGATATTCGTCACAATCCCAATGGATTAGTAACATTTAGTGCAAACCCACAACCTATTTATGCTAATGTTACAGTTAATGGACAGAGGTTAGTTTCACCTGCGAGTATAAATGGACAAGAAAATAAAGTAGCTTGTGATAATACAAGTAATATTTAAAGTGGACAATAAAGCAAGCCTAAAACTAGATGAAATCATCTATTAGGGTAACAGTTGATGTGTTATACAACCTTCTGATGGAAAAGAAAATCAAGTAAAAGACAACTCCATCAGAATCACAGACAAGATTTCCAAAAAACCTTAACATTCACATATTTTTTTTATTATACTACACATTAGAGCTTGGAAACTGTTCCACTGTTTAGTGAATGATAATTATAGTGAATACAACTGTACTTATAAACTTGTAACAAGTGATTTGTCTTCTATGCTGACCAATTGAATTTTTATAATGAAACCACTTTGTATTATACCAGACATTTTTGTTGTAAATAATGAGTAAACATTTTTGATTCTAATATGCATAGTTCATACTTGACAAAATTAACTCTCTCAATTTTGGAGCATTTTTTTCTGATGAAATAGTTGTGGTGGTAGTCCTTGTAATTCTAAGGTGTTGTTGTTGTATGGCTTATTGGTGAGAAGTATTTAATTTAGTCCTTAAGTGGAATGAAAGAATGTTCAAGAGATTAATTTGTAGTTACTGTGGGCCAAATGGCCTTTTGTTGCTTTTTAATTTTTTTGGTTAACAGTAGAAACCTACTATTTCAATAGTACACACATTTTTATAGGTATGGCTAATCAAAATACTTACTTGCAAAATGAATTTTCATAAATTTTGTCTTGATCTTATCATTTTGTCAATATTGATTCTTTTGTCTTTTTATAAAATCTAGTTTAAAATGTCTTAACCAGGTAATGTTTAAAAAAGTTAGAAGAATGTTATAGGGTGGTTATAATTTTTATTTTTCAGTAACTCTAACAAATTCAAGCAGTTTTGTAATCTGTATTTCACAACTTAATGAGCTTATGAAGGTAAAATTTATTGCAAAGATACTTGTTCATGAAAGAATATGTGAAGTTCTATATTTTGTATTTTAGTCTTTATTTTTAGTTCCTATAAACTTGAAGACCATTTACTTCATCAAAAATTAGCTGAGGATAGTATAAAGAATTGTTTTTACCACATTTTATAAAAGAATTAAAAGTTATTGAAACAAACAAGCTATGAAGTTTTTGTTTTTATCTTCTCTTTTTTTTTTCACAGAATATTATGTAGAAAAAGTAACTGATAAAAAAATTTCTTCCTTGATTTGCATTAGGATATTGTTCATTGTTTTACTTACTGTGGTTATTTCTTTAACAAATAGTGTTTGTATAGGTCATAACTGTTTATGTTGACAATTTTTCAGGTTATCGGGATAGACTGGAATAAATGTTATGGAAATACAAAAACAAATATATAGAAAAACTACTATTTTATACAGAAAAAAATGTATATACACATACAAATTATTATAAAAACTATTATTGTAAAGTCCTTGTAAAGTTTGTATAGTGTTTTTAATTTTGACTCAGATTTTTTATGTTCTTACTGTACTACCACTTAAAACAAAGTTATGTAAAATTGTTTAACCAAATATGATTGTCATGGGTTTTTTCCCTGAGAACCATAGTTATGTTGACTGTGAAAAGTTGTTACTGTAAAATTGCAGTATAATATGAAACTTATGACTAAACAAAGAAATTATGAAGTTATTGTTTATTCTTGTTTATTTATAAATTAAATCTGAATACTAAAGTGCAAATGATACCAGAATACCAGTAAGTAATCTTGCATGTCATGTATATTATGTTGTGAGCTGTAGCATTCAAACACTAACCAAACAAGGGGTATGTACTACAGATGTCAAATAAAGTTAGTAATTTTGGATATCAATTTTCATGAGTCAAAGTTTTATACCACTAGTTTCTCTTAAATCATAGTCCTATATTGTTCCTTCAAAGTGACATCTCTTATGAAATCACAGTGGTATTTTAGGAAGTTTAACCCACTGTCAAGTTTCCGTTATCGTGACCATTGAGAGAACTACAGAGAAATAGCAAAAAAAATATAAAGATTTAGCTTAATATATCACACTAGTGATTGTAACAATATCACAAAACAGTTCTAGTGTACATAAGGCTCATCAATTTTGCATATGGTTTCTCTTTCTTACTGAGGATGTTTATCATTAGGCATCAAATAAAAATCATGTTCCATGTCTATACACATGTGCCCATATGTTTACTAACAAATTACTTTTTCTAATGAAAGTCTGAAACTTAGCAAATATGTTTAAAGGAATAAATAAGATTGTAAGAGTTATTAAGAACTCAGTAGTCATACGAAATGAAACAACTCTGATGGACTACAAATGAGATGGTGTCAACTAGTAGATAAACTTAATAGTTAAACACAAAGTTAATACACAGTGCACACATTTATCTTATACAGTTGTACAATTGAGATGTGTATAAAAGATTACTACTTATTCTACATTCTGTGTAGATGTTATTCTTGATGAAGCCCAACATAACAATCCATATAATAAGAAAAAGTTCATTTGTACATGTGTGTGTATATATACATTTTACATTATTTAAGCTAAAAAGCCTCTGAATATGCATATGCACCATCAACTGTGGGTGCATTCTAAAAGTGACAGTCAGTCCCATTATTTGGTTCAAAGCTTTATGGTGGAAAGTGCTAGCCCAGGCTTAGAGAGGACCCATAGCTTACCAGCACATCATAATAATGAAATACACTGCAGGATGTCAATGCAAGTAGGGGGTCCCTTGGTCGGGCTACCGCCCGGGGCCCGAGTCACCTTTAATCTGTTCCTAACTAATAATATAGTTAATTAACTGAAAACTTTGAGTTTAGAATCAAATGATTAAAATCGGAATTAGTATCATGATATTTGATTCGTGAATTACGACTTCCTTGTTCAGGAATCATATCGAGATAAAACATTTAGTGATGTTCGCCAAGTTCGAAAATTGTTCGATCGTACATATCAAACATTTGTATTTCAAAACTACTCAATACATGCTATATTTTCTTTCCTTTCGAATGAAAGATGACCATGTTGTGACTTCACGTCTTAAAGACTAAGTAACAAACATTTGATTTACTAAAACTGAATGCACCGATAGCAATAAAAACAATGGATCCATCACGTTTTCCACTTGGTGTGGCGCAAATCCTACACTATGTCTTTCTCTCAGTGAAAAATTAAACGCTAACGAATATTCCGGTTTTCATTTCAAGGATATAATAACTAAAAATAAGATGGCATTTGTTATCTAAAAATTTGTATGTCTTTATTATGATGAGAAATACGTAGGCTGTACTACTAGACGGTTCTCATCCACAGACATATTCATTTTGCCATAGGGAATTAACCTCTAACAATACATTTTGGGCCCGGCATGGCGAGGTGGTTAAGGCCCTCGACTCGCAATCTGAGGGTCGCAGGTTCGAATCTCCATCACACCAAACATGCTCGCCCTTTCAGCCGTGGTGGCGTTATAATGTGACGGTCAATCCCACTATTCGTTAGTAAAAGAGTAACCCAAGAGTTGGCGGTGGGTGGTGATGACTAGCTTTCTTCCCTCTAGTCTTACACTGCTAAATTAGGGACGACTAATGCAGATAGCCTTCGTGTAGCTTTGCGCGAAATAAAACAAAACAAGAAATCGTGCTTACAAACACACAGATAGGGGGGGGGGGACATAACCTCCGTCCACCTTCGGTGGCGGAGGTAATAATATTATTATCAATTCTACATTTCAAAAATAAAAAAATCTTAAAATAGCATTCCAACAACAATTTCATTAAAACTGAAAATGTTTGTTCGGAAGCATGCTGCTACAATTGTAAAAAGTTTTCCAGTTACAAATTTTAATCTTAGAAGTATCCCTCCCCAAAGAAATTAATAAAAAATTAATTCTATATGCGAGAGCTTTTATAAAATTTAAACATTCAAACATGTATAACAAACTGAGGTACCCGTCCTTTGCCCGGATTATGAACTTAAAAAAAATGTGCGGATCGCCATCTGGAAAAGTGATGCAAGTTAATTCCACGAGATATTCGTTTAGCCATGCATACCTCAAACAGTTAGAGAATGAAATGGGTATCCATGTTATTTCATGCGAAGACATAGTGGCTGTGTTGCCAGACGCAAAGTCTATAGGATTCTGTGTGATTGGATTGTTGAAATGGGCACTTAGAAACTGTCATTGTCGTAAACTACATGGCTTATGGAAGGCTAGCAGGGAGGAGCGTGTGCTTTAGACATGCAACCTCATGAAAGAACCTTTTGCAATGAAAACTATGCCGCAGGTCTATAATCAAGACGAACGGTCATCAAATAGAGTTTTTTTTTTTTGTAATTAAGCACAAAGCTACACAATGGACTATCTGTGTTCTGCCACCACGGGTATCGAAACCCGGATTCTAGCGTTGTAAGTCCGCAGACATACCACTGTGCCACTGGGGGGCCATTAGATAAAGAATGATCAGATATGGTAACATGGCGTGGTGAGTCTCCCAAATAGTTTTAGTAAAACGTTCACAATCTTTGAATAACTTGACTCTTTTTTTTTTTTATATCACGTCTTTATATGGCTGATCCATTTAATCAGATATCATTGCTTTTTTGTTTTAATTATTGTTTTAAAAGTAATGAAAATTAAGGTTTCATCCGAAGTGGGATTTGAACTCCAGCTATTAGGAGAATCTATCAACACAAAGACAGCGTATCAAATTATTATGCCATTCCTTCGTTTCAGGTTTTCCATCTGTTTCTTGACCCTTACATAATTAGTTTTAACCTACTGGCTGTGGAGAGCAGTTCGTTTAAGATTATCAAAATAAAATAATAAAAATATTAATATATATATGCTACAGTTGTCAAATCCAAGTTCAGATTAATATCTAACAAAAAAATTTTGTTTCATTTCGGTTTTTCTTTGTTTACTATGTGTTTTGCCTCTTGTACAAGAAGAAGGTGAACAACAACCATAATCTTACCTCTTTTTGATTGCTTGCTTCTCTTAATTCAAAACAGAAATGAAGCTGCTGTTTGTAATATGATGTAAGAGTGCTTAAATTTGTTTAGAAACATAATAGTAGTGGCACTACAGCATTTGGAACAGTTGCAGCGAAACAACAGATTTGGCGAAAAGCCCAATCCTGTATATAGAGCCACGGTAGCGTTACTCAATCCTTCCAGGTTAGCTTGTTCGGAGTCACTACCATGACTGTACTTGGTGTAATACTTTTAGTTGTTAGAAATTAGCTAACTAACAACTTACCATTTAGCTCAGTCGTTAGAGCATTCATATAGTATTTGAGAAGGCTCTGGTTTGACTCCGAGGCGAGAAAATACAAAAACACATAACTTAAATTACCACAATGATATTCACTCCACGAGAATTTAAGTTATCACTGTAGTGCAAGTAAAACAGATTTACTTTTATTTTTCAGGAAAATCAAGCAATCAAACACAGAGATTACAATAATTGAAAATACAGTGCCTTGCAAAAGTATTCATTCCCTACCAATAATGTCACATTTTGGCGTAATACAAATAATGTCAACAATTGTTTTTAATACACTTGTTTTTATTCAAAACTCTAATGATCAAACTTAACACTGTTATGTGTGAAGGAGGTTGAATGTCAGCAAAACCTGCAAAGGAAATGTATAAATTGAAATTTGCTGATTACATATGTATTCAACCCCCTAACTCAGTACTTGGTGGAAGCACCTTTGGCAGCAATTACTACTGTGAGTCTTTTTGTATAGGTCTCTACTAGCTTTGTACAATGCGAAAATGTAATTTTTGACCATTCTTTCTGGTAAAATTGCTCCAAATCTGACAAGTTCGTTGGGGATCGTTTATAGACTGCAATCTTCAAGTTTCGCCTTTCTATTGTATTCAATTCAGGACTTTGACTAGACCACTCCAGAACATTCACTTTTCTCTTTTTAAACCACTCCATTGTGGCTTTGGCCTTGTGCTTCGGGTCGTAGTCCTGCTGAAATGTAAATTTTCGACCTAGTTTTAGATTTTTGGCTGACTCAGGCAGGTTTTCCTCTAGGATTCGCCTGTACATTGCACCATCCATCTTCCCCTCAATCCTGACAAGCTTCCCATTCCCTTCTGATGGGAAGCATCCTCATAACATGATGCTGCCATCACCATGCTTGACAGTTGAAATGGTGTTGACTGGGTTATGTACTGTGTTGTATGATAGTTGTCGGCTGCTGATGTTTCTACCGCAAAGGTACACAATGGGCAATATGCTCTCTGTCTGCCGCGGAAAATGAACACCGGATTTTACAGTTGTAAGTCAATAAACGTAGCGCTTACCCACCGGAGGACCATTATAAATAGAAGGTAGATTAAGGAGATGAAAATGCTTATTTCTAATAGTTTATTGAAATTTGACTTTTTTTATGTAGTGCCATTCTGAAAGTACACTTCACCATGTAATAGAAATTTAAGGATTTAAACTCTCAAAGAATAAAACTGCTTTCATTTATTTGTTAAAGAAATACTCACATTTTTTACCATAAGTTTTAAAAATAAGTAAATGATACATGAAAAACAGTTTTATAATTTGAGAGTGTAAATAATTAAATCTCTATTACATTGACACAGTTGTGCTAACGGACATATCAAATATGTTGAACTATATTTGCGTCAGGTTTGTGAGGCTAACACAATGGAACACTAAAAAGCATATAATGTATAAAAATACGATAATTACATATTTTTGTACGTTTCACTGAAACTGTAATATTATGTATCTATATAAATATAATAGTAGTGCCTGTTGTATGCCCAAGTAACTACTT